GCTATGAGAGGAGTCATGTTAGACTGTGCTGTAGGAAGAACTTTTCTTACATCCAATTGAAATTTTCCTTGCTGCAGTTTGGATTTCTTGAGTGAGGAGGTCAGGTGTAAGATTCTTGCGTTTGCTACATTACTTCTGTGTTTCCCAAATTCTGTAAGGGTATCCAAGTTCTAATTTTCATTCCCATTAATAATATATCTCTCTCTTCCTTAAAGGCTTATAGAGCTGCAATGCAGACACAATGGAGCTGGATTCTTCAGCTCTGTCACTGTGTTGAACAACATTTGAGAGAAAATGCTGCATATTTTGAGGTAAGAATATACATCAATAAAAAAGTGAAATGTTTTCAGTTTGGCCATAGTGGAAAAGTTCCACCAAAAGTGCTGGTTTTGCCCCTGACAATAGTTATAGAGTTGACTTTTGTCATGTGCAATCATTAGATGATGAGCCATGATCCTACATCCTACACCTGTAGTTCTTCACAGCAGTTATATCAGTTCACAGCAGATGGAAATCTGGCCTGAGATTTTTTCGGAGTGCTACAGCTACAAGTAGAGATTCTGAGAACAAAACCATGTTCTCTCCCTGTCATGCACAACCACTGTCAGTACATCATCTGTGGAGGGTGTTCAGTGATGGCCAAGAGAGAGCATATTCGAGATGGTTTTTCCAGTATTACTCAAAGAGGAATGGAATGTACAGCCTTAATAGCAAATGGAGCACCTTGATATCAGACATCCAACGAAACACCCTTCTGATTCTCTCCTTATCACCTGCTCACATACTCAGCAAATGATGTAGTACTCATGAGGGCTGTAGATTAAAGAGGTTTTTTTTGTTGGGTTTTTTTTTTGTTTGATTTTGGTGCTATTATCTTTTAAAATCTACTCTAAACATTTAAATTGTAAAGGTTAATCCTTAGAGTCTTCTGGGTTGGGTAGTTAAAGAGAAAAGCAGGTGACATTGGTATGAGATGCCTTTGGAATGAGAGGGACAAAAGCCCAAAGTTAGGAAAGGTACATTGGAGAAGGATGAGATGCCTTTGGAATGAGAGGGATGAAAGCTCAAAGTTAGGAAAGGTACATTGGAGAAGACAAAGCAATTGGAGCTCCTAGTGGTAGAGGGAATGAATGGGAGTTCTGGATTTAAGAAATGATGTTTAAGGGATGGAATGGGCTGAGGATTATCACAGGACATTTCCCTTCCCAATTTTGTTTAACCAGGACTTCAGTTTGGAGGTGCAAATGCTTATGCAGAACTGCCTAGTGTGGCACCTCACTTCCCTTCCTGCACAAAATGTTTGCCCCACTGTGCTCTCTGGATTTTGCCCCTAGTTTCTACAGTATGTAAACTTTGTCAGTTCTTTATAGGTGAAAGTAATTGTAATTCCATAGAAAGCAAGATGAACTTCAGAAAATTTTTCCATTGCAGTAATTAACTAATGCTCACGAACTGCTGAATGAATTTTGCATGTAGATAGTACCAGGAATAACTGGTGTTACAGTGTGTCCCTTCTTGAGCAGTACATTGAGGCATGACATCATGAACAGTCTTGTGTGGTGCAAGTGGTCACCTCAGGCAGCTAGAAAAGGTGGTTTTTAAAAAGACAGCACTCGAGGAAAATGTCAGTGTAGCTGATTATACACTTCTTAGGCTGTCTAAAACTAACCTAGATAATTTATCTCATCCTAGTTTTTCACTGATGCCAAAGAAGCCATGGAGTATTTGAAGAATTTGAAAGATACCATCTACAGAAAATATAGTTGTGATAGATCCAGCAGCCTTCACAGGCTGGAAGACCTTGTCCAGGAGTCCATGGTAAGAATTCAAGGAGCCTATTTACATGAAACAAGAAATCTATAGATTATAGTTGGATATAAAATGTATTAAGATTATTCATTTAGAGTGAAGTAATAAAAAAAAGCTGATTTTTCAGCTCTGGTAAATAAATAGCTGCATTATCCCTGTGCAATGGCTGGTTTTCATAACCTTAAAATAGAGCTTGATGTATTTCTTTATATTTACAGTGCCAGATGTGGGAAACCAGTGGCTGCAGAAAGATACTTCACTCTTGTAAAATGTGTTGTTTTTGAAAAACACAGCCAAAGGAGTCAGGAAAAGAAAAGCTTAACAGGATCAAAGAGGCAACAGTGTGTTCTGGCCATCTCTTATGTCGTCTTCTTTTCTTAACTGTTTCAGGAAGAAAAGGAACAACTCCTGCAGTATAAGAGCACAGTGGCAGGCCTTGTGGGGAGAGCAAAGGCAATAATTCAGCTGAAGCCAAGGAACCCTGACTGTGTACTCAAAACATCCATCCCAATTAAAGCCATCTGTGACTATAGACAAATTGAGGTTAGAAACTTGAATTTCCTCAAAGCAATTACAGATGTGAGAATTGAGCTAAAGTTTCATTAATTACCATGTTCCTGGAGAAAGCTCTAAATTTCTTCCACCCTAGTAAACAAGAGCAAATCCTTGTGTCGGAACATTGGTTTTGTTGTTCTGTTGTGCATTTGCTGACACCATTTGCAGAAGTGCTTTGTAGAAGTGTTTTGTAATGCTTGGCTCATCAAATTATTCTGCTTTTCTGTTAATATTAGATAACTATTTACAAAGATGATGAGTGTGTATTAGCAAACAACTCCCATCGTGCTAAATGGAAAGTCATTAGCCCGAGTGGTAATGAGGCCATGGTTCCATCTGTATGCTTTACAGTTCCTCCACCAAACAAAGAAGCAATAGATACAGCCAACAGGTAGGGACAAAACAAAACTACTATTTTCTGTTCAAATTCAGTTATATGAGGCTTGGGTTAAAAGAACATCTAAGAGTTCTGTTTTGTTTTCCTGTTCATGTGTTACCGTGAGCTAAAGTTGGATTTTTAAATTTATTTTTTGATTTTTTTTTTTGAATGTTCCAGGATTGAACAGCAGTTTCAGAATGTTCTGGCCCTTTGGCACGAGTCACATGTAAACATGAAGAGTGTGGTGTCCTGGCATTACCTGACAAATGAAATCGAAGCTGTTCGAGCTGGCAACGTTGCCTCGGTACGTGCTATGCCTAGGCAGGGCTCTTGAGCAGTGCCTGGGTAGTTATAGCCTACAATTCTCAGACATGTATAATCAGTGGTTTTCAGCAATCCTCATCTTCCTTGTGGGAGATATGTCTGGGGAAGGAGCAGAGAGGTGGTGTCAGGAAAACTACCTGCAGCCTGTTCTCCTGATGCCAGCAGAGATCTCTTGAAAGCAATGAACAGTGGCTAAATCTGAACTTTGCTGTGCAATGGTCTACTGTTCTGCATTTATCTTGAAGGTATCTGGGGATATTAGCTTCATGAGGCTAAGGCTAGGCTCAACTTCACAAAGACCCCAATTATTTCCTCATGCTGCAGCTTCTTGCTAACAGCGGAACAACTGGGAAGTGACATTTAGTCTTTCAAGCTGAAGTAGCCAAACACTCATTTCTCCATAATGCATTTTTTCATTCTCACACATATCTGTCACTTGAAATGTTAAAGAGCTAGTTAGGCCCAGTTTATCAGAAATGAAATAGTGATATTATAGATCAAATTCTTCCTGGTTAAGACAGTGTGTGAGATCACTGATGATACTATAGATCAAATTCATTCTGGTTAAGACAGTGTGTGAGATCACTGAATTGCACAGTGTTACATATATAGCATAACACTAGTTAAAATTGTAGTTTATTGTACAGCATAGGGATATATCTGTCCACAGAACTTTGCAATAATATTTGCCATACCCAAAATGACTTTTTTTTCCCCTTCTGATTTATCACTGTTCCTGTTGGGAAGAGGAATGTCAGATAATTCTTGAAGTGTTCCTACTTGTATGACTCTGCTGCTTGTTTGTTGCTGCGTGGTGTTAGATGGAGAAATGAAGTCTGATGTGTAGGGTTGGCTTAATACAGCCCATTACTGGCATTAAAAATTGAAAAGGAGTTTATGGTGAGGGTAAACTATCAGCTGTCAAGTGGATTCCAGCTTAGGAACAATAAGCTTTCAGAACCTCAGTTCTTTGTCTTTCCCATTGTAGTCGTTGGTCAATGTTGCTTTTGGATAAAAAGCTTTACAGGGAATGTGAAGTGATGTATCATTGCTGACTGTGCTTTGGGTTTATAATGTGCTGCAGATAAAGACGATGCTGCCAGGTGAACATCAGCAGGTTCTGAGCAATCTGCAGTCCCGTTTTGATGATTTTGTGGAAGATAGCAGGGAGTCCAAAATCTTCACCAGCTCCGACACAGCACAGCTGGAAAGGGAAGTTAATGTCTGCAAGCAATACTATCAAGAGCTTCTCAAGTCTGCAGAAAGAGGTAAAACTTAGCTTAGAATGGTAGAAATACATCCTCATGAGAGAGATTTTAGTTATAGAATCACAGAATAATCAGAGCTGGTTTTGTGGAAGATAGCAGGGAGTCCAAAATCTTCACCAGCTCCGACACAGCACAGCTGGAAAGGGAAGTTAATGTCTGCAAGCAATACTATCAAGAGCTTCTCAAGTCTGCAGAAAGAGGTAAAACTTAGCTTAGAATGGTAGAAATACATCCTCATGAGAGAGATTTTAGTTATAGAATCACAGAATAATCAGAGCTGGAAGGGACCCGACCCTATCATCTAGTCCAACTCCAGGCCCTGCACAGACATCCCTGACAGTCACACCCTGTGCCTGAGGGCATTGGCCAAACACCTCTGGAGCTCTGTCAGCCTTGGGGCTGTGACACTGCCCTGGGAGCTGTTCAGTGCCCAAACACCTCTGGGGAAAGAAGAACCAGTTGCTAATCTCCAGCCTAACCCTGCCCTGACACAACTCCAGCCCATTCCCTGGGTCCTGTCCCTGGGCCCAGACAGAAGAGGTCAGAGCTGTCCCTGCACTTCCTTCCCTGGGGAAGTTGTATCCAGCCTTGAGCTCTGTGCTCAGTCTTCTCTTCTCCAGCTGAACAGCCCAAGTGCCTCAGCCACTCCTCATGTGGCTTCCCCTCAAGGCCCTTCACCATCTTCGTTGCCTCCTTTGGACACTCTCTAGTTCTTCATCTTGAGTCCTCTTTTATCATATTGATGATATTATGAACGAAGAATCATTTTCATATTGTGCACAATTATATTGAGAAGCTCCGAGGTGTTTTCCTTTTAATTTAAAAAACTTTGTTTCTATGAAGCTGTGTAAAAATCTTGTCATGTTACTTAATGTAGAGTGGTGCAGAATTTTTTCCACACAAGAATTTATTATTTGCATTACAGCTCACTATTTAGTCCTGTGTTCTTTGTTTTTGAATGCTGGAAGTACAGCTTGATTACTTTGTTGAGTTCATTACAAAATTAGAACTTTTTTCACATTGTTAAGGCAAGAAAAGTGTCCTAGGTGTTTTCCTTGCTTCACAGAATGCAGTTACTGCTCTCTTAACTCTCTTTTTAATACACTCAGAACAGAAGCTTAAAATATCTGTTCTGCTTCACTGTTGAGCAATTAATGACTTAAAGAAATACAGCAGTGCAAAGCTGATTACTTCATTAACATAGCTCATTACACTTCAGACGTGTTGCCCCGTGCATTTGAAAGAGGATTTCATGTGCCTAATACCAGAGGTTGAAACAATCAGTCTTTGAGTCCGTGTATGGGTAATGCCTCTGCCTGGGATGGATGGTCACAGACATGAATTTTTCAGGTGTGAGGAGATGATCTAATAATAGCAAAAATTAAGGGTTCCTAAAATTTGCCTTATAGCCAAAATTCCAATGGAAACTGATGGGATTTCAGCCAATCACAAAAAGACCCATAGAACTATGACTTCTTTCAAGTGTTTCCTGAGAAGATATGGTGAAAAATAGATGATGACCTCATTTTCTAACATGTACCTCATTTCTTTCAACAGAGGAGCAGGAAGAATCTATTTACAACCTGTACATCTCTGAGGTCAGAAACATCAGGCTACGGCTGGAGAGCTGTGAGGAGCGGCTGATACGGCAGATCCGAACGCCAATGGAAAGGGATGACGTACATGAAAACGTGCTGAGGATTTCAGAGCAAGAGGTGAGCTTTGAGAAACTCTGGTTTACCTGGGGAAAGACTTTTATTGAAAAACAAATGTATCCAGATGTTTGGAGTGTAGTCAGGAAGGTCTGTGACGCACCTTGAAAAGATGAATCAAACATTTTTTATTCTAAGGGTGGTGAGACATTGGCACAGGTTGCCCAGGGAGGCTGTGGCTGCCCCAACCCTGGCAGTGTTCACAGCCAGGTTGGATGAGCCTTGAGCAACCTGATCTAGTGGGAGATGTCCCTGCCCAGGGCAGGGGTTGGGTCTGGATGATCTGTAAGGTCCATTCCAACCCTTAAATTCTATGATTCTGAGATTCTCTTTATGAAGAAAAAAATGCTGATAAATGGTGAGATTCTCTTAATGAAGAAAAAAATGCTGATAAATGGTGACTCTGTTAAGTTTCTCTATTACATGTATGTTATTTTGAGGGCTTTTTTTTTTTTTTAAATAATGTCCACGTGAAACAAGCCAAGGAGAGCAGACCTGTAGTGTGGTGATATGTAGAGTATATATCAGGTTGATGTAGGATGAAAACATTGTCCATCACCTTTCATTTTCCAGAAACTGAAGAAAGAACTGGATCGCCTGAAGGATGACTTGGGAGTCATCACAGATAAATGTGAAGAGTTTTTCAGTCAAGCTGCTGGTTCACCTTCAGTCCCTACTCTGCGCTCTGAGCTCAATGTTGTCATTCAAAACATGAACCAAGTTTATTCCATGTCTTCCATTTTCATAGATAAGTAAGTACTAGACTCTTTTCCATCTCATCTTTTAGTTTGTAGTTTTCTTTTCAGAAAAAATTAACATATTAGTTTGATTAATACCCATCAAGGAAAAGGGAGTTCACATTTTAACACTGTATAAAGGTGGTGTGTACCCTGTGAGATGAAAAGGCTGAAAAACACAAGTGTGTGTTCAGTGTTGTTACTGATGGTTAACAGGAGATTCCTGTTTTTCAGATTAAAAACGATAAATTTGGTGCTGACCAACACCCAAGCAGCAGAATCATTAGTAAAACACTATGAAACTAAGTTGTGTGAGGAAGAGGCAGTAACAGCTGATAAAAACAATATTGAGAACCTGATGGGGACATTAAAGGTAAGACTTGGCTGGTGCCTCCTCATAGACTAATCAGAAAATGAGATGAAAATTATCCGTCTCATAACACTTGGTTGTGCTACGTTGCATAGTGTATCAAAAGTTGTGTGTTTGGTTTTAGTCTGTATTGGGGTTGACATCTCAGAAAAAAATGATCTGGCTTTGGAGCATTAAGGAATTGGATTGAAAACACATTCCTTCTGTTAGGTAATGCCTTGAAATATCTCAGTTTCCTGCAGTGGCACTTGTTAGTGCTGCAGTGAGAGGTTTGCTTTTTTCTCTACAGAAGGTAGCATACATTAGAGGTAGCATAAATATATAGTTGTATTTAGATAACACCATAATATATATATATATA